GGGGAAGTCTGTCTCTGCTGTTACCAAAGCAAAAGTGGCACTCCAACACTGCACACAGGACAATAACCGGCACTTTAAACGGGTAAAGAATGTAATCAGGAACAAATATTTAATTCAATCAAACATTTCTCTCACTTTTGGTAGATAAGAATCTGGAAACGACTTTGCGACGAGGTGAAAGTACACAATGATGGAGGGTCACGAGATAATGCAGCGACTGTTGGTCATTTTTCTCGCAAATCATGTACCTTCTGTAGTACATACTGTATACTAACAGATCATGTACCTTCTGTAGTACATATACTAACAGATCATGTACCTTCTGTAGTACATATACTAACAGATCATGTACCTTCTGTAGTACATATACTAACAGATCATGTACCTTCTGTAGTACATACTGTATACTAACAGATCATGTACCTTCTGTAGTACATACTAACAAATCATGTACCTTCTGTAGTACATATACTAACAGATCATGTACCTTCTGTAGTACATATACTAACAGATCATGTACCTTCTGTAGTACATATACTAACAGATCATGTACCTTCTGTAGTACATATACTAACAGATCATGTACCTTCTGTAGTACATATACTAACAGATCATGTACCTTCTGTAGTACATATACTAACAGATCATGTACCTTCTGTAGTACATATACTAACAGATCATGTACCTTCTGTAGTACATACTAACAAATCATGTACCTTCTGTAGTACATATACTAACAAATCATGTACCTTCTGTAGTACATACTAACAAATCATGTACCTTCTGTAGTACATATACTAACAAATCATGTACCTTCTGTAGTACATATACTAACAAATCATGTACCTTCTGTAGTACATATACTAACAAATCATGTACCTTCTGTAGTACATATACTAACAAATCATGTACCTTCTGTAGTACATATACTAACAAATCATGTACCTTCTGTAGTACATATACTAACAAATCATGTACCTTCTGTAGTACATATACTAACAAATCATGTACCTTCTGTAGTACATACTAACAAATCATGTACCTTCTGTAGTACATACTAAAGAATCATGTACTACAGAAGGTACATGATTTGTTACTAACAAATCAAGTACCTACTGTAGTACATACTAACAGATTGTGTACCTTCTGTAGTACATACCTACAGCCTCGTGCGGCCATGACTCGTGATACTCACATTTCAAATTCAGACCTGATACTCAATACTTTGATACAACCACAGGGACTGCAGATGGAAACTAGCTGTTTGGCTGTAATCTGGTGCAGAACATATCCGTCTCTGAGCTTAATGTCTCTTCAAATAAAGACTAAACGAGACTAAACTAAACACTGTTAACCCTTCAGGCACCAAAGTAACGCGTCTTGAGCTCCAAAATCTTTTTCCTATGTTTTTAATGTATTTGTTATTGATTGTAGTCGTTCTCCATCCATTATATAAAGTTTCAGGGTTCCACCTTTTGTTTCGCATATCATGTTTTGTTCTTTATTCTTAGAGGAAGGCTGGAATTTACACGCATATACCAATAAAAGTGACGTGTTCATTTTTTGTAATTTGTATCAAAAAAGGCAATTTTTTCCAATGCTGGTGTATATAACAAAACTGAAAAAAAGAAAATAATCTGAAAACAATAACATTTTCTGTAAAACAATACTTATGCGTACTACTTCTATTTACAGACAAACACATGCTGTATAGTAGAGAAATATAGTTATTTAAAATACATAAACATTGTAAAATAAAAGTAAGTTATCATTCATTCTTGGTTAAAGTAGCATTGACTTTGTGTTAAAGCTTGTATTACAATCTATTCAAATCTGATTGTTGCTACTTCACTTTGACAGCCACATTTCTCACATTAGTCACTAGTTTCCTCAAAGAGACAGAGCCTGCCTCCAGATCACATACCTGGATCTGCCCCCGAGTTCACACCCCAGCCCTGTTAAACACACACTGCACCGGGGCTGAGTCACAGCAGAGGAGTACTGCCCCTTCATCAGGACATTACCCATGATCCTCTGACTCTGCAGCAGCAGTAACCATGTGTTTTTACATTCCCCTTTCCTCTGGAGATGGCTGCATGTGTTTATGCATACACACACACAATTAATATCATCAAGAGCAAATACAGGGAAGATGAGGGGCCCAGGGCAAGACATCCAGGATATATCAGTATTCATTTGGGAGTATTTGAAGTTCAGTTTCATTAAGCATAAAACTAACCATAGGACTTACACAATGATTAATAATAATCAATAACTATATTGACTCAATGTTCAATAATAAAGTAATGAAAGGGGAACAAAAAACAATAATGAGCCTTAATATTCATCATCTGCAGATTGTCTTTACAAAAAAGAAAAGATTTGACCTATTTCTTACATTACAGCTAGAGAGATAAAAATGCGGTTAATTTTATTAGCACTACTTTTATTTTTTTTATTAAAATGGATAAAATTGATAAAATTGATTGCTTCACTGGGCTTTGTGGTACTTTCCAGTGGAATTAAGTACTTTTATTATTATTGTTTATCAAATCAAAATGTTATCGTGACAAAAACACTGGGAACACTTGTATGACTTTTAAAGTGTACATAGTGTATACATTTTTGTCAAAGATGTTCTTAATACTCACATATTTTAAAGACTATTGCAATATAAAGCGTTTGATATAAATCCCCCCCCCCCTCCTCTACTTCATTATTTGACCACAGTGGTATTATTCCCTTTAGAAACAGGGGAACAGAACTCTCATTCAAAAAAAGTTTATATCAGAATTTTACATTGCTGTACAAAAAGCCAGAACTAAATCCGTCTTTGCTGTAATGCCATCGACTTCTGCGAGACTGGAGGGAAAGTTTGTGGTGTGACAGGCGTAGAGGAGCACAGCGACTGCAGAAGTTGTGAGTCGTTGTCAGAGGGGAGGTCCCAGTGGTCCTGTGCCCCTGACAGGGCTGTGACAGGACTCTCCCCCCCAGAGACGAGCCCTGATGCTCAGAAGAGAAAAACACAACTGCTGCCTCTGGAACATTTTGTCACTGACTCATATAAAAACTTTATTTCAGTGCAACATCATGTTTCGGCTCAAAAATAGTCTGAAGAATTTCCGTTCTGGGCTAAGATTCTAGATCACACATTATAGTCTTTTTGCCGGGCCACACCTCAATCCAAACTAAGAGAGCTGTGCGTCGATGATTCACACAGTGATACTCGAGTTCTTGGCCACACCTATAAATGATCCTGATCCAGAAGCTAAGCATGTGAGGGCCTGGTTAGTACTGTGATGGGAAAACTTTGACAATTCCAGGTGTTACAAGTGGGGCAGCTGTGGTCTGTAAAAAGTGCCAAACTGTCATTGTGTCCTAAGGCAAGACACTTCAAACACATTGCCTTGTCTGATGATTGGTGGTGGTACAGATTGACTCTCTTCAGGCAGCCGACTCCAGGGCAGCTGTGGCAACCTGTGGAGCGTCTTTGAATGTCCAGAAAAGTGCTATATAAAAACAATGTATTATTATTGTTGAGTTTTTATTTGTCTAACAGATTTACAACCAAACTAAACTATTCTCAAGTTACAATGTTTCCTTTAAGAATATATTTCAAGCTTATAAACTGGAATCAATATTGTAATTTATAGTATTTACATCTATACATGCAGGTTTTCCTTTATTCACTCCTATCAAAGCCTTCCATACATCTGATTTTTACTTGATGTATGTTTGGATTCAAGAACAAAACCTTTATATTGCAGCGTTCTGAGGGGAGCAGCTCTTCCAACTGTTCCTCACTACTGGAACGGAAATGAATTGCACTGTCGTCTATAAGGGAGTAGAAATTAGCCTAACGACCACTCTGCTACGTCAGAGGAAAATGAGAAATGCTCCTCTGACCTGTTTTTGATAGTGTTTGTTTAGTCCCCACACTCCCCTTACAGCGGGTCGGGCTTTGGCCTTCAATAAGTAGATCTTCCACTGGCTTAAGGCTGGAGTTTATTTCGAGGTTAAGGGGCACAGAGGGGCTGTAACGATGCAATCTGTGCAACTCCTCTGCTGCTAACGCCCCAATGTTTGCACATCTTGGATATAAAAATGTGAACAGTTTAACGGAATGTGTAATTTCCAGACAACAAATGACTTATTTAAGCTAAGATATCTACCAGTATTTCAATTCTGTATTTCACTTATCACTTCATGTTTCAGTATCTTTATATTCTATTTTCCATTGTAAAACTCAACAATGAAGATCAATTTATATGTTTTTATCCTACCTGTTTTCTACAATTTTCTTCATGCTCTCAGTCTTGTGCACTAAATAAATGGACATTTGATATTCACTAGTCAAGAACAGGTGTGGTTCCAGTTTTGTTGTCATTCCAAGACAAAGATTACCCAAGACTGGGCACACAATGCTCACCATGACTTACTTTGAGAATTCGAATGTTTCACTGCATGGTCATTGCGTTGACTTTGAAACACCTGATGGCTGCAACAACTTGTTTTTGGGGAAGCCATTCTACCAGCATAAAAGTAAAGCAGATTCATATGGGCATTTTGAAAGTTAGCCTTTTTCAGAATGGGAACAGGTCTGATTGCTAAAAGCCCTGTGGGGCAAATGTTTACTTGTTACAACAGAGCTAGATTCTGCCCTTCCAACTCTCTCTCCTGGAATCCACTGCGTCCTTGTGTGGCAGTGAAGAAATCTGAGCATTTGTCTTGAGTATTCTTATTTATCCATGGACACGTTCCTTAAAGGAGCATTCTGCAGAGGACTGGACCTTAGCGGGAGCAGAGATGGGTTGAAGCAGCTCAGGTGTTTGTGGGCAGGGAAAGACCAAAAACACCCAGAGAATCATCAGGAGCACACTGCACACATTCGGTGATATACACACTATGGGAAACGTGTGAGGTTCTTTGTAAAACATACACGTATTGACGTATTTAAGCCACAATGAAAACTTTACTTATTAGTCGCAGTTGACACGTACCTTGTAGACATTTTCCGTCATGCGGTGGACCTCGTCGGTGCGAGACATCGTGAAGTCTTCAGCCAGGACCATAAACGATATTTCCCTGTAACGAGTATCCGTGCAGAAATGGGTGTAAATAGTTTAGTAAGGGGTTTATTGGAGGAATGCGGTGCGGTACAGCCCGATGCTGCGCTCCTGAAGCCCTCTCCAACTGGGGCTGAGCACACCTTTCACGCACTACACTACAGCAGCGCTGCCGCCTTCAGGGACCCTCCCTCTGCAAGAAATACCATGATCAGGATGTTTAAGCGATCTGAAGTCAAGTAGTGCTACGAACATGCCTTATGTGTATTCATTATAATTGTAATGATAATGATCTCATTCAACATAACCATCATTTGTACCTAAATACAGGACTACACGAAGAATGTCATTGTAAGAGAATCATGAGGCCGATTAGAAATAAAGAGTGTAAAACGGCAATAACTAATTAATGTAAATTTAACGCATTGTTTCTCGATAAATTACGCACAGACCGAACTTGCTGCAGCCCCTTGTACCAAATATTCCCAGCAAATGCAGCGAATGGCGCCCTCTCCTGGGAAGTTATGTAAGACACATGAATGGATACGCAATGAAAAATAAAATGTCATAGAGAGGCCGCCAGGCATTTTGTTTTTATTTTGTAAAATCCATCGCACGTGTAAAACGTAAAAAATGCATTATTAGTTGAACTGTTAAAAGTGAGAGGAACGACCCAGACAGTATAATATTGAAATAAAATAAAAGTTTCAAGTAAAGTTTGAGCACTGGTCTCACGTACAGTGTAACAAGTTGACAATAAATAACACATGCATGCCACTATTCTTTGAAATCTACCAATAATGTACATGTAATTGATGCAAACAGCATCAAACGAAGTCTGAGGCTCAGGCTGCTAACATTTCATTCTCATGCTCTTCTTTTCTTCTTTCTACAAAAGGGAAAATGTTGATTAATGACAGAACTTTTAAAAATTAGAAACTGAATGTTTGTACTTTTATCAACTTGAGCTGCCTCAGGGATGTCTGGTAGAGCTTCATCTAGGACCTCTGGGAGTACAACTTCTCCCTGTTCAAACATAGCCACATGTACCAAAACGACATATACATGAGCCAAAGCATGACCTTTATATGAATAACTCTGGTCTCACCTGAGTAATTCTTTCTAATTCAGTCAAAATACTTTCCTCATCTTCTTGAGTCAGCGACCCCGCCAGTATGTCGTCTATTTGCTGCAAAGTAATAATAACAGTCAACATCAAAAATACCAGACACAACGTAATATGTAAAGTGTTTCAGGTTTTCTTCACAGAAAATTCATAGTCACTAACGCTCAATCTTGGCAGGAGAATAATAGTATTGTTACCATGGACTGTAAAAATTAAGATAGTTACCCGTTGATATTCGATTGCCTCTTGTGTTTCATCCATAATTCGCTCCACATCTTCAATTGACATAATCTGAGAGATTAAAGAAAACCGGTTAGTAATGGAACATAAGAATACAGCAGGAATTTCCATTTAACTGGGTGAAAAATCTAAAATGGGATTTTGCTTTGAAATTTGCTTTCAATCAATAATAATAATAAAAAATCGGTTTTATATACGCTTCACATGTCATTATTCACTCACTCCATACACGGTGGTGATAAACTACTACTGTAGCCACAGCTGCCCTGGGGCACTGATAGAAGCGAGGCAACCAGTATGTGCCATCGGCCCCTCCGACCACCACCAATCATTCACACACACACACCAGACTCATTCTAGGCAATGTGGGTGAAGTGTCTTGCCTAAGGACACAACGGCAGTTTGGCACTTTACAGCCGCAGCCGCCCCACTGTGGTATCAGGTGTTCCCAATTGGGGATGAATTTACAGAATGCATATACACATTAATCATCAACAAAACATATATTTTTTTATTTTTGAATGAAGGAGGAGTAAGGAGGTTAGAATACTGACTTCAACAATGTAGTAGTAGTAGTAGTAGTAATCTTTATTTATATACCGCCTTTTTCACTGCACATCGGAGTCTCAAAGCGGTTTACAATTGTTATTTTTGGGAGTGGGGGTGCCAGAACAGGAGGCACATGCCAGACCTATTGTACATATTTTTAGTGGTAGGGGAAACCGGAGCACCCGGAGGAAACCTACGCAGACACGGGGAGAACATGCAAACTCCACTCAGAAAGGCCCTGGTCCAACCGGGATTTGAACCCAGGACCTTCTTGCTGAGAGGCGAGAGTGCTATCCACTCAGCCACCGTGCCGCCCACTTCTGTAACACAGGGTTACAGAATCTAAATGGTGCCACTAAAATACACAAGAGAAATCAAATATAGTATGTTGTTATTGGAGACAGAATATTGTCAGGGGAAAAACTAATGTAATGTTGTTTAAAGGAATTTAAAATGCTTATTGGTGCAGTAGCAGGGGGGAAGGGCCCTGCTAGAAAATGTTTGAAAAGGTAGAAGAGTTTGATTTTTATTAAGTATGATGTGTGTCACAATGTTCCTATATGATTTTATTGAAGAAAAAAAAAAGAACATAACGTGGCTGCAAAATAAAATAAGTGGCACAATCCACGTCCCTAAAATGTGCAGCAGTCACAGTTCTGTTAGGGCTTTGCTAATCCTTTAATCTTGAAACAATGTACTGTACACCAGCCATGTGTGCTGACATCAGAGTAAACACAAAGGGGATACATTCTTGAGGACACTCCATACCTCGTGCATACGCTTGAGACAATCGTTTCCAACCTTGAGTCCTTCAATCACTTTCATCTCTATCTGCATGAATTCAATGTCTTGGACCTAGGGGGGAATGCATAAGAGTGCAAAAAGTTTAAGTTTAAGTCAGTTTAATAAAGCACTTTTTGGACACTCAAAGACAGTTTAACACGTCATTATTCAATGATAAACTACTAGCCGCAGCTGCCCTAGGGCACACTGACAGAAGTGAGGCAACAACAGTATCAGACCACCATTAACCATTAATTTCACACAATACCACAATTATATTATAGGGTTTAAGGGTGAATTGCCCACAATAGTAGCAGGTTAAATCAACATTTATCCACAAATCTTTTTCATGAACATTCATAATGTTTCCTATTATTATATTACACATTTTCTACTGTCAATTACCATTTGCTCCAAATTGGAAATTTGATTTTCCATTTTCTCAAGGAGTTGGTCCTGGTATCTCTTCTTTTTTAGAAGCAACAGTGCTTTTCTGAAAATAATAATAATGTAATTTAATTGCAATTATTTTCTTGAAATGTTACAGTAAGGTTAAGATGGATACTCACTCCTTTTTGCCATCTCTCAGCAGTTGTTTGGCCAGGTCCCGCTCTTTCTCCAGCTGTAGTGTTATTCTCTTTTTGTACTGCTTGAGTTTATCTCTTTGCTGTTTCAGTTGCTGAATGTAAACAAACAACACACCACGAGCTAAGTAAAAACATTCGAAGCTATAAGAAACTATGTTTGTCCGTCTATATAATATTGTTATATTATATCATATAATACCGTCATATTATATTGTGACGTTTTAGTCAAATAAGTCACGGGAGATAGAGTTTCTTTGCTCAACTCGTGCCACATACACCGCAAGACCCCGAGAAGGCAGTTTTATTGCAGTTTTAACATTAGACTCCTAACACACTGAAAGCATAGGACCCTATCAATTAACATGGTGAGCTCAGTCATGGTGCAACACTTAACAGTCAACATAACAATAAACCTGACAAACGGAACACTGCTGTGGCACGTTACATAACCCCCACCAGAGCGGGTTAGTCGTCCCCGACAACCCCATCACATAACACATAGTCTCTCAAGTGACCAGGTTGACGACGTTGGCGAATTGGGCGTCTGGGAGACAGATGAACTTGGGGGGCTTGGACAAGTAATCCGTCTACTTCACCAACAGTCTCAGGAGCATAGGGGCGGTACGGAGCTAGCCGGTCTCTGTGCAATACCACAAAACGGCCCTTGTTTGGCATGCGTACACGGTATACCACGTCGGACAGGCGTGCCACAACTTCGGCTGGCCCCCTCCAATGACTGCACAGCTTAGGAGAGATACCTTTCTTTCGATCGGGGCAATAAACCCACACTTTGTCCCCAGGTTGGAAGGGCTGACCGCGGCAGTGACTGTCATAGGCCCTCTTCTGACGTACCCCGGAACTGGCTTGAACTTGGCGAGTATAGTCATGCACCACCCGCAGGTGCTCTCTGAGTCTTTGGAAATAGTCCATCTCGTGCCCTCCTGCAATCTCGGGCTCCCGAACACCAGATCCACGGGTGTGCGGAGCTCTCGACCGAACATGAGAGCAGCTGGGGTGCACTGACTGGACTCCTGGACTGCAGTTCGATAGGCCCAGAGGACGAGGGGAAGATAACGGTCCCAGTCACGCTGGTGCTTGCTGACCAGGATAGCAAGTTGGGTAGCCAAAGTCCGATTAAACCTCTCCACTAGACCGTCACTTTGGGGGTGGAGAGGAGTTGTCCGCGTCTTCTTAATTCCGAGCAGTCTGCAAACTTCACTGAACACCTGGGATTCAAAGTTCCGCCCCTGGTCACTATGAAGCTCAGAGGGCACTCCAAAACGGGTGAACATCTCATCAACCAGTCTTCCAGCTGTTGTGGCGGCACTTTGATCTGGTACAGCATAGGCTTCCGGCCACTTCGTAAAATAGTCCATGGCTACTAGGACGTAGCGGTTTCCAGTATCGGTCACAGGAAAGGGCCCAAGAATATCCACACCTACTCGTTCCATTGGAGCCCCGACCAGGTATTGCTGAAGGGGGGCATGTGAGCGCTGGGTGGGACCTTTCCGAGCAGTGCACAAATCACAGCAATGCACATGTATTTCCACGTCCTGTCGGCAGCCGGGCCAGTAGAAACGTCCCCGAAGCCGATGGAGGGTCTTGGAGATGCCAAAGTGGCCTGAGCCGATTGAACCGTGCACACTCTGAAGGACCTGAGGTTGAAGTGAACGGGGCACTAATAACTGTAAGATGTCTTTGCCCTGCCCTGGAGCCCGCCACCTCCGGAACAGCAAGCCGTTACGAAGCTCAATGTTTCCCCACTGAGAGTAATAGGCCTTAATATCAGTGCCATGGGGGGAGACTGCCGGCCATTCAGGACGTCTGGGCAGTTCCAGCCACTTCCTGATCAGGGCCAGGGTGGTATCGGACTCTTGCTGTTGCTGCAGCTGTTCTGAAGACAGGTCATCAGGGGGGTTAATTGTGGCAGTGGAAACCCTCGGCTTGTCCCGATCCCGCTCTTCCTGGCGCTCGCAGTAACGACACTCTGCTATAACACACGGGCGTCGTGACAGGGCATCCGCATTATTGTGTTGTTGTCCAGGGCGATGTTGAATGTCAAAATCGTAAGTTTGGAGAACTTCCAGCCAACGAGCTACTTGTCCCTCTGGCTGCTTGAAACTTAAAAGCCAGGTCAGTGAGGCATGATCTGTGCGCAGGAGGAACTTGTTGCCGTGCAAATAGGGGCGAAAATGGTGTACTGCCATCACTACGGCTAACAGCTCTCGGCGTGTGACACAGTAGTTCCTCTCCTCACGACTGAGAGCGCGACTGTAGTACCCCACTACTCGCTCTCCTTCGCCTCCCTGCTGTGAAAGGACAGCCCCAATTCCGGTGCCACTAGCGTCTGTGTCCACCACATAGGGGAGATCTACGTGCGGGTACGCAAGGATGGGCGCGGCTGTGAGGGCTGCTTTTAGCTGGTTGAAAGCAGTGTCACAGCTGTTTAGTCCAAGCGAAAGGCTTTCCTTTGTCCGTCAGGCGGTGTAGGGGCCCTGCGACAGAGGCAAAGTTCCTGACAAAGCGGCGATAGTAGGACGCCAGTCCCAAGAAACTGCGGGAGGTCACGTACGTTAACCGGGATCGGCCAATCCTGGACAGCCGCTACTTTCTCTGGGTTAGTCGCTACTCCTTCAGCACTGACCACATGACCCAGGAAAGTAGTCTCTCTCTGCAGAAGGTGGCACTTGGCAGGGTTCAGCCGCAGACCAGCGTGACGAATAGCACTGAAGACGCCGCTCAGGTGGCCCAAAGCTTTGCTGAAATCACTCGCATGGACTAGCAGGTCATCCAGGTACACCACACAATGGCTGCGAGGAATGTCGGCGAGCACCCGCTCCATGAGACGCTCGAACGTGGCCGGCGCATTGCACAGGCCAAATGGCATTACACGAAACTGCCAGAGTCCTTGCCCGAATGTGAATGCAGTCTTTGCCCTGGCCTGGGGGCTGAGCTCCACCTGCCAATATCCACTTCGCATGTCGAGGGAGCTGAACCAACTTGATCCACTAATGTAATCCAGAGCATCGTCGATGCGGGGTAGTGGATAAGAGTCCTTCTTTGTGACCGCGTTGAGACGACGGTAATCCACCACACAGAACCGCCACCCACCCAATCTCTTGCGCACAAGAACTACTGGAGCTGCCCAAGGACTGCTGGATGGTTCTATTATTCCAGCCGCAAGCATTTTGTGGATCATGTCCTCTGCTAACTGTCTCTTTGAAAGGGCGAGCCGATGGGGCCTAAGGCGTATTGGGGGGGCCGAACCAGTGTCAATAGAGTGCTGGACAAGCCGAGTTTGTGTACAGTCCTCATCTCGAGCGGCAAAGATGTCCACATACCTGTCCAAGAGATGTCTCAACTGCTCTTTTTGACACTGATCTAGGCCCTCACTACTGCGCTGCCACAGCTCTTTGACAGCATTCACAGTCTCCGTGGATGGGGGTGGTATGGCACGGGGACTGGCTGTGCAAGCGCCAGCCGGTGTTGGAGAGCGGTGATCTGCCGCCTGGACCGCTGCTGGGACCGCCACATCTGGGACCACCGCCGCTGGGACCGCCGGTTCTGGGACTGCCTGGACCTCGACCGCCTGGACCTCGACCACCGCTGCTGGGACCGCCTGGACCTGGACTGCCTGGTCCGTCACCGCTGGGACCGCCTGGACCGCTGCTGCTGGGACCGCCTGGACCTCGACTGCCTCGGCCACCTGGACTGCCGCCGCTGGGACCGCCTGGACCGTCGCCACTGGGACCGCCTGGACTGCCGCCGCTAGGACCGCCTGGGCCTCGTCTGCCTGGACCTCGACCGCCTGGACCACCCGGACCGCCGCCGCTGGGACCGCCTGGACCGCCGCTTCTGGGACCGCCTGGACCGTCACCGCTGGGACCACCTGGACCGCCGCCGCTGGGACCGCCTGGACCTCGACTGCCTGGACCACCGGGACTGCCGCTGCTGGGACCGCCTGGACCGTCCCCGCTGGGACCGCCTGGACAGCCGCTTCTGGAACCGCCTGGACCGCCGCCGCTGGGACCGCCTGGACCGCCGCCACTGGGAATCGCCTGGACCGTTGCCGCTGGGACCGCCTGGACCGCCGCCGCTGGGACCACCTGGACCGCCGCCGCTGGGACCGCCTGGATCTGGACCGCCACCGCTGGAACCACCCCCCTTGGACTGACTTTCCGGGTCCTCTGCCTCTTTCTTGTCCGCTTTTCAGGCTGGAGATCAACTGTGAGAGGCCCAAGAGTGAGGGTCGACTTCACAAGGTCAACCACAGCACCCCAGTGAACTAACAAGTCTAATGCAATGATACAAGGGTCCTGTATTCGCGCTAACCAGAATTCGTGTTCCAACATTTGGTCTTGAACTTCAATCCGCACACTTTTTTTTCCTTGCATACCTGCCCTCTCTCCTGTGACAGTGGTGAGCTGCATGTGTGTTGGTGACCAGGAGGTGGAAAGTGGGCCTGTTGTACCAGGGAGTACTCCTGGCTGTACGAGCGAGATAGTGGACCCTGTATCAATCAGTGCACGACAGGGTTGGCCATCTACAACGCAATCCAAGTACAGTCCTTTTGAGCAACCAGGTTGGCCCACCACAGTGCATTGTCCTTGTAGAGGTGCAGGTTTTTGGGGTGGGGTCTTCCTCTCTACTCCACCCCCCGATCGTTTCCCGTTGGCTGTGGCTCCCTAGCTTTTGGGGATGGTGCAGGGCAATTTCGAGCTAAGTGTCCGGGTTCATCACAGCGAAAACAGCGATCGGTGGCAGTTCTGCGACGCCCCCTGGGGGCTGGAGTACGGAGCTGATAAACTTCTTCAACTCCGACTTCTTCATAATCCACATGGCGAACTCGCTGCAGCATATTTGTGGCCCTTCCCAGGTTTGGCCGTGTGGAGAGCACTATCTCCGCCCGTTCAGCTTCCTGGAGAGCTTCATTCAGGCAGCGAGGGCGAGCAAGACGCACATATTGACGTAGCCTTTCTGGGGTAAGACCTTGGAGAAATGCATGAAGTGCGAGTTCGTCACGTGCAGCAACTGGAAACTGTGGGTAACCACGCTGGGTATGGAATTGTATATTGGCCGCGAAGGTACCCAAGTTTTCCCCTTCCTTCCGATATAGGCCACTCAGCTGCTCCCTGCTCTCTTCCGCATGCAGGCGCTTTCCAAAGCGCCGTTCGAGACCAATCATCAGGGCCCGTAAATCTTGCTGATCCTCTAGGGACAAGTCAAGGAGAATTTGAAGGGCGACACCTTCTAATGCCAAGGCAAGGTGGGTGGCAGTTTCATCGTCGCTCCAGCCACTATGCCATGATGCTAGTCTAACTTGGGCAAGGAAGGGCTCTACTGGTGTGGTTCCACTGTACTTGGGTAGTTTAGCAGGGGTCTTTGGTGTAATCATCTGTCTTGGGGCATGTGTTATCACAGTTTGCCTCTGAGTATGTGCTGAGCCCCCCCCTAGTAAGTCATTCACTTGGACATTCTGCTCTATGTTGCCTGTTTGAGAGCTTATATCTTTCCTGACAGCCTCCAGGGGGCGTCGTGGCCTCAATATGGTCTGTTTACTTGAAGTGTGGTGTGGACTAGTCCTACCAGCCTCCAGGGGGCGCTGTGGTCTCTCTGTGCTCTGGTTCTCTGAAGCGGAGTGTGGAGGAGTCCAACCAGCCTCCAGAGGGCGCTGTGGCCTTGCAGTACTGTACCCATCTGCAGCATGTCTCTCCTGAAATCTCTTGGGCTTGGCTCCTTCAACCTCCTCAAGAAGACGGCAGTTTTCCAGTACTGCGCGTTCCAGCTCTTCAATCTCTCTCTCCATTTCTTCACTTTTTATGGGAATTATCCCACTTCTGACACCAATGTGACGTTTTAGTCAAATAAGTCACGGGAGATAGAGTTTCTTTGCTCAACTCGTGCCACATACACCGCAAGACCCCGAGAAGGCAGTTTTATTGCAGTTTTAACATTAGACTCCTAACACACTGAAAGCATAGGACCCTATCAATTAACATGGTGAGCTCAGTCATGGTGCAACACTTAACAGTCAACATAACAATAAACCTGACAAACGGAACACTGCTGTGGCACGTTACAATATCAATATATTATAAACAACAGCAACAACTACAATATAATCAGTGTAACCAGGACTAATCTTCTGTCAGAGCAGCGGCAGCTCACCAACACGGCTTTGTCCTGCTCCGTAACCCGTGAGGGCTGGCTCTTTCTCCCAAAAACGTTTCCCATTATTCAGCCACATCCCCATAGCATCCTCGACATCAATAGAAATGACACAAATCCGCCTGCAACATGGTATTTTTGCAAACAGAAGCCAAAAGGCTAAGCGGCTAGCTGTCAGCCACCTCCCGCGGGGGTCTTCCGCATTCTCTACGGTGAGCAGAGCAGGACAATCTTCATGAGACCAAAACAGCCATCCTTAGGTAGCGGGCTGTTGCCATAGCAGCAATTGTTTTTTTCAACATAAAACGAATTCCAAACGTACAGATATTGGCAAATTGATCCCAGCTCAAACTGCTACGCATACTGTAGTTGTGTCCTTGGGCAAGACATTCAAGACCTGTGATACCTGAATATGTGTGGTTCTATTTGAGTACCAACTTTACACAAAAAGTAATCAGAGATGTTTGCAAAGTTTTTAATACAACATTCAATATTTACAGCAAAAGGATATACAGCCTTCAACCATCTTTGTGTTATGATCAAAGCAAAAACATGCATGTTGATTCAGTTTCTCATCCAATAACGTTTTTTTGTCACCATTCAACATAACTTTGAATTCATAAAGAACTTGTGTCTGTTGGTGTCATTCATGTTTAAATTGAATGACTCCACATCAGAATGACAATACATGCTACTCCATCTGTATCAATAATGTATTATTTTAAACATACTGACCAGGTTTTACTATCAATGCAAACCAGCATCATCAGTATTATATCAAGAGACATTTGAAGTCACTCTATCCAAGGCCTCTGAAGATTGAATGGTTTATTGAGGGTCTGTAGTTGTCTCTCAGGACACCTCTTAGCTGTTGTAAAAAAAAAGGACAAGACATTCCCAAAGTCTTACTCATAGTCCTTATTTACAAATGATATCCAGAAGCAACAGGCCAATGAAGAAAGTTATATCTGGAAGTCAGTCCCGAAGTGTCTGATCTGAGCCTCGGTTATTGACATATAGGGGGTCCTCATACTGGGCGAGTACTGCAAGAAAAAGAAAAAAAAGAAAGTTAATTTGAACAAACAAGGCAATACAAGGTAGGCTTCTAAGTATCACAGTTAAGTTGAAAATGTTTTGTTAGTTGATGCAGGAAGGGACAGTATGGAGTCGAACATCACACACACACACACACACTTAGAGGGTCACACTAAAGAGAGATCATACAATTAGGTGATACGAATTATGCTCTATTTGGGCTGTTAAGAAGAAAAGGGACCACACAACTGAGATAACAACGAACTTACAGTGTTTAAATGTCTGGGAAAAGCAATGGAAGTTAAATAAAAAGTAAGTTAGTGGTTTATTTGGCATTGCACATGAATAATGTATAAAAGATTACTAAAATACCCCTCTGTTTACCTGTCACGTATTCATACATGCTTCAAATTATTTACACAAAACACTCAACATATCATTTACATTTCACTCACAGAACATTTCATTCATCTACCTATAGTTCAATATTGCTTAACACAGCTTAGACCCCAGTCCCACCAATAGCCAGCAGAGGGCAATGTTCCCTCACTTCTAAACACAATGGCTAACTCTGCACCGGAAAACTGTTATAGATCTATCATATTAACATGCTGGTGGTGTAGCAGTGCATGCTTCCAGTTAGTGTTAGAACAGATTGGAGGGCAGCAGTGGTATTGGCCTCATTATACTAGAGACACAAAGGCCTCATAGGGCCAACGCACCGACGGCGGTGGCGATCCTCGGCCTATGAGTGGCATATTCTCATAACGAGGGTTGCCTCCAAACAGCATGGCTTGATTCCTGAGACAGAATAAAAACAAACATGGTAAAGTTGGAACATCCGTGCTAATATGCTTTCACTGCAGTTTTCTTACATGTATTCAGGGGGCTGTAAAGTGTTAGAAGCAGACTGAGGAGGAGGTGGGAGACTTGTTTGACTCCCAACACTACTTGTATAGCTACAAAAACTATGGATGTTAGACCTTCTGGGGTTGTAGGACAGGCGCCTGGCCTGGGGGTTAAAGGGATCCTCCTCGTCAATGTCGTCATACTCCCTGTCTCTGGAGACAGCAGAAAAGGCAGAGGGTGTGTATGAGTTAACACGGTGCACTAGTGCATTATGGCCCTGAGTAATGGGATAAGGGGTCACTGAGAGCTGACCTGGTGCCCATTAGTGTCCACACTCTCAGGATTGTGCACAGCATGGCAGAGAGCGCACAGGCCGCCAGCAGAGAGAACAAAGAGAGGTAGAGCAGCCCTTCCACCCCGTCATAACACATCCCTATTAGGGCATCCACATAGTCCTACAGAATGGACACAGGAAGTCATTAATGGATACATCAAACACGGCTGGAACATTATCCTTACCAGATGAAAGTCCAGCTTTCAGTCACAACTGATTTTTGCAACATTGTCTGAATACATTTTGAGGATTCTACCAACTAATACCGCTTGCAGTTAGTTTATAATGACATTTAAATCAGTTGTTTTGAAGTTAAGAAGATGCTTGTTTGGAATTCTCAATGGGCACATCACACACATTTCATCCTTGGTCAGCAAAGAACAACATGCTTTGTATTGCTAATAAAGCTCAGAGTGGAGCCAAATGGGATCCTTATTTTATGGTCTCGTTATGCCTCTCAATACTGTATAGTGTCAACAGTAATACACATATTAATTTCACCTTAATATGATATATATATACTGATACTTGATACTATTTTAAAAAGACAGTGTTAAAGGTTTCATCTGTTTGATTGTACTATATATAAAATAACCACATTTATTGGAATTGGATGTTGACAACATGGAATACAATTGTCCTAAACCTAGACAGTACTTAGTTGGTACAGCCCTAACTGTGAATAAGTGTTTAATTTGTGGTATGTTCAGTGGATTGCTGAAAGAGGTCTAACACACAGTGACCAACAACAATCATCACAAGGAAAGCTATTTCATTTTAGCCCCTATTTGAGTTCATTCTGTGGGAAGACTATGCCTACATCACATTGTAAAATAGAAATGATGTACAGAGTGTTAAAAGCTGACAATCACAGCAGTGCTGAGAGTTTCAGAATGTTCCCATTACCTTATGTATTCCTCTGCAGTCGAGCAGAGCTGTTAGCTGGTGCAGACTGAACTCTGTGGAGTTCAACAGTCGCTGGATCCCCAAAAGGTCTTTCTGTTCAACAAGGAATAAAAGTGGAGCAAATGCTTCAGAGCGTTTTAGAGAGTGATAATAGTGTCTGTCAGACAGGCACTTACCTCAGCAGAGGGGAAGATGGGCGTTGTTAACCGCAGTAAATTCTGTATCTGGATTTGCATGGTGGTCACAGAGCGCTGGCATATTGTCAGGGACTAGGAACACAAAAACATAATCACATAAACACAATAAGACTAGCATTGTTTGAGTGTCGTGTGTCATGTATTCTGCTATAAAATAATGCTTTTTAATGTTGCTTAACAAAGGAAAACCCCAGAGATTATCCCCAGACACCCTCAGCTTCGCCCACCCAACCACAAACACAAACAAAGGAGCAATATTTATATCAACTAGGTCATCGGATAAGAGATTATCCCCAACCACCTTTCATTTAATCCGAAAATGGATAGAACAGTGGTAAATAAACATGTCCTTATTAATTATTGAATGTGGATTAAGATGTGTTTTTTGACAATGTGATACAGTATATTATTACGGGTTTGGCTAAATATAACCAACAGCAACTGAGAAGTGTTGACCAGACATCAATGTATTATTTCACCACTACTATCATTTTGGTTTAGAATTGCTCTTCATCTGCAGCAAACAAAAAGGTAAAGGATGTAATTAGTGCTGGAAGGGCTGGAAGCTTTCATATGCGTACAAAAATTAAATTGGCAGTTTGGAACTAATCACTATCACTATGACATTAACACAACATAATATGGCTGTTATCCTCTACAGCAACAAACATGCCAAGTAAAAAAACAATTATGTGGTCATTATGAAATTTCACACTGGACATTTTGTCAATACCGTTTGAAAAGGATTTGGTAAATTAGGACTGCAGAACAAGTAATAGTGTGCAACATCTGTGAAGAAAGAGAAAAATATGAGGTTAGATAGAGGAGGAGGATATCTGAAGGGATATTTGACAGAGTGAGTCAAATAAAATACCTGCAGTGATGAGATCCTTTGTTTGGTTCACGATAAATTTGTCTGGAGATACACAGAAGTCACTAGTGCCCTGTGGAACAGAAGAAAATAATATTGTCAAAGATAATAAATGGACTTCAAAATAATAAAAACAGAATGAATATAATCCCCATGTAATTACTTTTTAATAGGCAAGGCAAGGCAAGTTTATTTGTATAGCACAATTCATACACAAGGCAACTCAAAGTGCTGAACAAAACAAGAAAGCATTAAAATCATAAATAATCACAGAACATTAAAAAGAAAGTTAAAAATATAAAATCCCTCAGTTGTATGCACAGCTAAACAGAACCGTCTTTAACCTGGTTTTAAACATTGTCAGAGAGGAGGCCTGTCTCACATCTTCAGGAAGACTGTTCCAGATTTTAGCAGCATGAATCTGAAAAGCAGCCTCCCCATGTTTAGTTCTGACTCTGGGCACTAACAGGAGTCCAGTTCCTGTGCTCCTCAGAGTCCGGCCTGGTTCATATGGTACATGGCCATGGAGAGATTTGTACACAAGCAGAGCTGTTTTAAAGTCTATTCTCTGAGCCACAGGAAGCCAGTGCAGAGACCTGAGGACCGGACTAATGTGGTCGTACTTCCTGGTTCTAGTCATTATTAGTATTAAGAATCGTAGGCCTACCATTTATTGTTAAATGTATAAATGGTGTCATGACATTATGGCAGACAAACTACACCGACTATTTCTACCAACGTCAAAACATAGCAAGACTGTATAGACCTGTGACCTGTGTTGGTGATTTCAATGGTTTTGTTAAGTCCTCTGAGATGACTTCTGTTGTGACCTAGGGCTATACAAGAATAAATTGTATTGTATTGTATTGTATTGTATAGAGCATATAGGCAATTGCACGTCATGCTTGGAATTAAACACTTTTTAGATACAAATCCACCATGTGTAGTTACAGAGATGCATGCAAAACTCATTCAGCAAAAAAGTCAGGGTCTGTAGTCAGCAAACCTCATCTAATGTAAGACAGAAATAGACAGCCACTGCTCCATTTGAATTACATTTTTTTACTCTCAATTTAAATTTCTATCACATCAAATCAGGTCATATTTCAAAATGGCACACAATTTGCAGGATCATGTTCAAATGACAAACAGGTGCAGTAACACATATTTAAATTAATTCAAGAGATCTGTGCATGTAGACAGCTCATGTATTTGCAGGGAACAGCCTTAAAGCTGTAAAAGCCACTTGGTATTCCTTGGTATTCTGCCCTCGCCCTGACTGTCCGACAGTTAGCTACAAGACTAAGCTGCAGTAGTGGTTTCTACTGTTTAGAATACATTTTACACTAAGGTCAGCCTATTTAAAGTAAGGTCATGTTGTACTGTAATGAGCAAAGCTGAGCCCTAGGCATTTCTTCTCTGCAGAAGTGATAAAAACATAGATCCAATTTAAGAGAACATATGCCTAATTTCAGGTTAAGAATGATCTGCTGCTCAAACCCTCGACCTCAGTGGGATGATCCAAGCTTCAGATGAGGTGACTAGAGAGTGGGCATGAGCAATGAAGAAAGACTAGTGCCCTGGCGGATTACTAATCCAGACACAAAGAACATGTGGGTGCAATCAAGACGAGGGCACCATCTGTCCCTGTTAAACAGGGATAACACTGTGCAAGTGTAAAGGAGTGGATAAAAGGATGTAGTACTAGAAAGAGCTTTCTGAAATACAAGGATATTTTATCTCAAGGAATATTGCACGTAATTCATATCAAATTAGAAGGTAGTTAATGCAGAACCTCCATGAGTAAAGTTACTACACAGAGACCTGGTAACATATTTGAAAGGACGTGTAATGCTTTAGCAACACAATGCATAATGTGTGGATTCTTAATGGATTCTTGACTCCAAGTGGTTGCACACAATTTTCTCTATAATTCGTGATTGATGAATGTTTTGTGTAAAGGCTTCACAGATTGCCTCACAAAAATAGAAAATAAAGCCAAAACAGCAATAGGTGGAGTCTTTGGTTTGGAAAAAACATAGTGTCTAAAGCAGACTTGGAGATTCTTATCCATGCATTTGTCTCCAGTAGGTTAGACTACTGCAATGGCCTGCTCACAGGTCTGTCCAAACAGGCTGTAAAACAGCTGCAGTACATTCAAAATGCAGCAGCTCGAGTCCTGACTAGAACCAGGAAGTACGACCACATTAGTCCAGTCCTCAGGTCTCTGCACTGGCTTCCTGTGGCTCAGAGAATAGACTTTAAAACAGCTCTGCTTGTGTACAAGTCTCTCCATGGCCTCGCACCAAAATATATTAGTGACATGTTAGTCCCATATGAACCAGACCGGACTCTGAGGAGCACAGGGACTGGACTCCTGTTAGTGCCCAGAGTCAGAACTAAACATGGGGAGGCTGCTTTTCAGATTCATGCTGCTAAAATCTGGAACAATCTTCCTGAAGATGTGAGACAGGCCTCCTCTCTGACAATGTTTAAAACCAATTTAAAAACGGTGCTGTTTAGCTGTGCATACAACTGAGGGATTTTATATTTTTATCTTTCTTTTTAATGTTCTGTGATTATTTATGATTTTAATGCTATCTTGTTCAGCACTTTGAGTTGACTTGTGTATGAATACAAATAAACTTGCCTTGCCTTGGAAAAAGCCCTTGATATTTAAAGGCAACAGGGAGCTAATAGTGACTATCATCTATCATCACTGTAAATCATACCATTTGTACTTGTATTCACAGGGAGGACACAATCGAAGTGTATGGAGTATAACTTTCTCACCACAGCAGTGGCCAGGCCTGCTCCCAGTGAGACCCAGCTGAGTATCATCGACAGCATCACCAGCCCCATGATCCTGCAGGGAAACAGCAAATGGAAAAAAGACACATAGTGAGAGGTGACAGAGGCACACGTGGAGCGGAAGATTCATCATTTTCTATGTGTCCCTTCCATCCACATATATTTCATTTCTTTTCTTTGTAACTCAGACTTTTGTAGCTTGCGTGTTATTGCTCTTGTGTTTTTTACAGACAGAACACATTCATCCGCCGCTGTAAATGCTGTACCTAAATTACAACTTTCGACATTTTCCAAACTGTTGGCTATATATATGTAAATAAAAGCGCTATATAAAAACCGACATACTATTACTTATATGGACTTGAGCTACGTTTTAATAAAGGACTTACAAAACCATATGCCTAAAGACAGAAAAACTCAAAGTGCTCTTTCTCTTATAGACGTCAGTTCTTCCCTGCTGGATGCTGCTTGCAACATTCCTGCACTAACTTTCGTCTAGCCACTGTTCTGTTAATCACTGCAAGCTTTTTCTTGACTTTTCCCACCCCTACACGTTAACACAGCCTTTGTAAAACGTCTAAAATAACCTGCAACCCACACAGGAAGAACTTTGAGGACAGAGAAAATGCATCGTGGTAGATAAGAGTTTCACTTGACTTGCATGCATAAAGCAGCCTACAGAGCACTTAATAATTAGTAGAGAGGGCAGACAGTCCTGCTCTGACAATCAATAGACATTAAGTAATGTTATCTGAGAGCAACCAAGGTCTGTGTGTCCACCGTGAAGCAAAGCCAGAAGGGACAGGACAAAAATGAAGAATCTCAGTGAGGTAATTGGTATTTTTCTTGCCATATTAGCTTGAACAGACAAAGTCACATAATACAGCTGGTAATTCTCAGTTGGCTCTTGATATCCCTGATTGGTTCTCCCACTGATGCTAAATTAATCCTTCTTATTTTCCGCATTCCACAACTGTCCTGCTGGAGAGTCCACTTTTCTCTCAGGTCTAAATCATTTAAATTAGCCATGTCCAAACCTAAGGCTTGCGGGCCAAAGACGGCTCTCTGTATCATTCTACGTGGCCCTCTGCCTTGAGATAACACAGTTCACAGTGATATCCAGCCAACTTCCCTCATTGTAAAGATCAAAACCTCTGGAATACTGTTCTTTATTAGTTTATTTATACTATTATATGTGTTTTCGATTATGTCACCAAATTCCATTTATGACACTAATGTGGCTGTGGTGAGATGTTAACACTAGTAAACCTAACTTCTGTCAAAGTGAATCAATAAGAACATATCATACAATCTTAAATTTCAGAACTCATTTAAAGGCCAAATCCACTCGAAGCAGTTAGAAATTTGAGTTGTCGGGCCCTGGGAAGTGCTGTTAACTAAACTGGTCCTCCTAATGTCTTAAATGTAGGGACCACATTTTCTAAATGTTGTTTTTTCCTGGAATATTCTATAGTGTGGCACTAATTTTTCTATTTAGATTGAAAAAAAGTGACTCATGGGTAAATGTACAAGTCACATCTGTGTAGAGACTCATCACTGTATTTAGTTTTATATCACACTAAAATCATACATAATTGAAGAACGTACAAGTCTTAACCACACTGAGCGATATCTTAAGCAAAGCACTAATGTACAGTACAGGTGAAACATGGGAAATTATTATGTCGTTCAAAAGTCCATTTACTTCTGTGATTTGACGTGCGAGGTGACACTAATATATGTTAGACTCATTACATGTAAAGGAAGATTTATTAATCCTTGAAATCATGTTGATAATTGGCTCACAGCTTGTAATAACAGTTATTCTAATGTTGAACATTTCTGTCTGTAATGAGTCTACATGATATAAGGGTTTCACCAGTTAAATTGGATTATGGAAATAAAGGAGTTTCACGAATGGCAACAGGCAGGTAGGGGCCCCATCAGCCCTGTTGCACAAGGTCTTATTTTAGTCCTGTTTCTTTGTTGATGTTTATTCTGATCAATGGTCATTTGCATCTGCACTACACTATGACAATTTTAACATGTTATTGTTATTTATATAAAATTGCTTAGAGTACATTGATGATACATCTATATGCTTTTCAAAACATGCTTTATCTTAATTCTCAATAGATATATATTTGACTGGACTTAATTGATTTTTTTAATTGAAAAAGAAAATGTGTGTCCACAGTTGGAAATGATACTCACAGGATGAGGAGCCATCTGGACTGTTTGGCCATTCCCAAACACATGGTCAGGCAGATGACCAAATCAAAAATCAGCAGCAGTAGATAGGTCAGCCACCTGTGATAGACAGAGAGACATTATTGCACAAAGGCCGCCTCATTCACGCTCATTTAAGAGGTTCACTTAAAGAACTGCTCCACGTGCACGACATGAGTTCTGTGTAAGTCATAAATCAACAAACTCTGCTCCTAGTTAGAGCCCATCTGTTCCATCAGGTAATTTCCAGGCTGTTGACTTAATAATTCAGCAGAACAAATCCATAGACATGAATTTTTCAGGCTTTAGAAATGTCTTTCACATGAGCAGATTGCACTTGTGCTTGTATGTGTGAGTGACGAGCCAAACATATGGGAAAATATATGAGTCACTTCAAACCCCACATACAATACGAGCCCCGCTGGCGTTGTAAATCCTATGGAAATATTAATCCAGCGATGCCACACTAACAAGCACTTTCTATACCATACAGCACATTACACTCTGCAATACTGCTGAAGTCCATACAATGGAGTCATTAAACATTCAGGACCACTGAAGGTATTCTGCCCACCACATTTCTCTCAGAAAAAGTTACACATTTATGAGAATTATAGAAGTTATACGATGGAAGCAATTGTACTATTTTTTAATTAATCGTGAAAAGTATATATTTTATTCAATAGGTTCTACACCTACACTATTTTTATTGTTTGATTAGAATTAAGATTAAGAGATAATTTTTTCCTTCAACAGTTGAGAACTTTCAGTGGAGGAGCACAGACACAAAATAAGATAAGTGAATGTTAAGTATAGCTTAATATTCACTCTGTACTTGAAAAATAAAATAACACCTCAATAGCTTAATAAACGTCAAAGCATAACAAACATAAACAGAAAACGTATACATCTTGTACTTATCTTTAGTTAGTCCAGTTCACTTTTGGTTTAAGATCCACAGTATAAATCTACAGCTAGATCTCAAACACAGTCTAATGCAAGAATACTGAAGTAATGAGTGATTAGCTCTGTTCAAATAGTGTTAAATATGTTAGCATCATGTGATACTACTGTACATGTTAGCAGCATGTGATACTACTGAACACGTTAGCATCATGTGATACTACTGAACACGTTAGCATCATGTGATACTACTGAACATGTTAGCATCATGTGATACTACTGAACATGTTAGCAACATGTGATACTACTGAACATGTTAGCATCATGTGATACTACTGAACATGTTAGCAGCATGTGATACTACTGAACACGTTAGCATCATGTGATACTACTGAACACGTTAGCATCATGTGATACTACTGTACATGTTAGCAGCATGTGATACTACTGTACGTGTTAGCATCATGTGATACTACTGAACACGTTAGCATCATGTGATACTACTGAACACGTTAGCAACATGTGATACTACTGTACGTGTTAGCATCATGTGATACTACTGAACACGTTAGCATCATGTGATACTACTGTACGTGTTAGCATCATGTGATACTACTGTACACGTTAGCAACATGTGATACTACTGTACGTGTTAGCATCATGTGATACTACTGAACACGTTAGCATCATGTGATACTACTGTACATGTTAGCAGCATGTGATACTACTGTACGTGTTAGCATCATGTGATACTACTGAACACGTTAGCATCATGTGATACTACTGTACATGTTAGCAGCATGTGATACTACTGTACGTGTTAGCATCATGTGATACTACTGAACACGTTAGCATCATGTGATACTACTGTACGTGTTAGCATCATGTGATACTACTGAACATGTTAGCAACATGTGATACTACTGTACACGTTAGCAACATGTGATACTACTGTACATGTTAGCAGTATGTGATACTACTGAACACGTTAGCAACATGTGATACTACTGTACGTGTTAGCATCATGTGATACTACTGTACACGTTAGCATCATGTGATACTACTGTACACGTTAGCATCATGTGATACTACTGTACACGTTAGCATCATGTGATACTACTGTACATGTTAGCATCATGTGATACTACTGTACACGTTAGCAACATGTGATACTACTGTACATGTTAGCAGTATGTGATACTACTGAACACGTTAGCAACATGTGATACTACTGTACGTGTTAGCATCATGTGATACTACTGTACACGTTAGCATCATGTGATACTACTGTACATGTTAGCATCATGTGATACTACTGTACATGTTAGCATCATGTGATACTACTGTACGTGTTAGCATCATGTGATACTACTGAACACGTTAGCATCATGTGATACTACTGTACATGTTAGCATCATGTGATACTACTGTACGTGTTAGCATCATGTGATACTACTGAACATGTTAGCATCATGTGATACTACTGAACACGTTAGCATCATGTGATACTACTGTACGTGTTAGCATCATGTGATACTACTGAACACGTTAGCATCATGTGATACTACTGTACGTGTTAGCATCATGTGATACTACTGAACACGTTAGCATCATGTGATACTACTGTACATGTTAGCATCATGTGATACTACTGAACACGTTAGCATCATGTGATACTACTGTACGTGTTAGCATCATGTGATACTACTGAACACGTTAGCATCATGTGATACTACTGTACATGTTAGCAGCATGTGATACTACTGTACGTGTTAGCATCATGTGATACTACTGAACACGTTAGCATCATGTGATACTACTGTACGTGTTAGCATCATGTGATACTACTGAACATGTTAGCAACATGTGATACTACTGTACACGTTAGCAACATGTGATACTACTGTACATGTTAGCAGTATGTGATACTACTGTACATGTTAGCATCATGTGATACTACTGTACATGTTAGCGTCATGTGATACTACTGTACATGTTAGCATCATGTGATACTACTGAACATGTTAGCATCATGTGATACTACTGTACATGTTAGCATCATGTGATACTACTGTACATGTTAGCATCATGTGATACTACTGAACATGTTAGCATCATGTGATACTACTGTACATGTTAGCAACATGTGATACTACTGAACACGTTAGCATCATGTGATACTACTGTACACGTTAGCATCATGTGATACTACTGTACACGTTAGCATCATGTGATACTACTGTACATGTTAGCATCATGTGATACTACTGTACATGTTAGCATCATGTGATACTACTGTACATGTTAGCATCATGTGATACTACTGTACACGTTAGCATCATGTGATACTACTGTACATGTTAGCAACATGTGATACTACTGAACACGTTAGCATCATGTGATACTACTGTACACGTTAGCATCATGTGATACTACTGTACACGTTAGCATCATGTGATACTACTGTACATGTTAGCATCATGTGATACTACTGTACATGTTAGCATCATGTGATACTACTGTACATGTTAGCATCATGTGATACTACTGAACACGTTAGCATCATGTGATACTACTGTACACGTTAGCATCATGTGATACTACTGTACACGTTAGCATCATGTGATACTACTGTACGTGTTAGCATCATGTGATACTACTGTACGTGTTAGCATCATGTGATACTACTGTACACGTTAGCATCATGTGATACTACTGTACGTGTTAGCATCATGTGATACTACTGTACATGTTAGCAACATGTGATACTACTGAACACGTTAGCATCATGTGATACTACTGTACATGTTAGCATCATGTGATACTACTGTACATGTTAGCAACATGTGATACTACTGTACATGTTAGCATCATGTGATACTACTGTACACGTTAGCATCATGTGATACTACTGTACATGTTAGCATCATGTGATACTACTGTACATGTTAGCATCATGTGATACTACTGTACATGTTAGCATCATGTGATACTACTGTACATGTTAGCATCATGTGATACTACTGAACATGTTAGCAACATGTGATACTACTGAACATGTTAGCATCATGTGATACTACTGAACATGTTAGCATCATGTGATACTACTGAACATGTTAGCATCATGTGATACTACTGTACGTGTTAGCATCATGTGATACTACTGTACACGTTAGCAACATGTGATACTACTGTACATGTTAGCATCATGTGATACTACTGAACACGTTAGCATCATGTGATACTACTGTACGTGTTAGCATCATGTGATACTACTGTACACGTTAGCAACATGTGATACTACTGTACACGTTAGCAACATGTGATACTACTGAACACGTTAGCATCATGTGATACTACTGAACATGTTAGCATCATGTGATACTACTGAACATGTTAGCAACATGTGATACTACTGAACATGTTAGCATCATGTGATACTACTGAACATGTTAGCAACATGTGATACTACTGAACATGTTAGCATCATGTGATACTACTGAACATGTTAGCATCATGTGATACTACTGTACGTGTTAGCATCATGTGATACTACTGTACACGTTAGCAACATGTGATACTACTGAACACGTTAGCATCATGTGATACTACTGTACATGTTAGCATCATGTGATACTACTGTACACGTTAGCAACATGTGATACTACTGAACACGTTAGCAACATGTGATACTACTGAACATGTTAGCAGCATGTGATACTACTGAACATGTTAGCAACATGTGATACTACTGAACATGTTAGCAGCATGTGATACTACTGAACATGTTAGCAACATGTGATACTACTGAACATGTTAGCAGCATGTGATACTACTGTACATGTTAGCAACATGTGATACTACTGAACATGTTAGCATCATGTGACACTATTGTACATGTTAGCATCATGTGATACTACTGTACGTGTTAGCATCATGTGATACTACTGTACATGTTAGCATCATGTGATACTACTGTACATGTTAGCATCATGTGATACTACTGTACATGTTAGCATCATGTGATCCTACTGTACATGTTAGCATCATGTGATACTACTGAACATGTTAGCATCATGTGATACTACTGTACATGTTAGCAGCATGTGATACTACTGAACATGTTAGCATCATGTGATACTACTGTACATGTTAGCAACATGTGATACTACTGTACATGTTAGCATCATGTGATACTACTGTACGTGTTAGCATCATGTGATACTACTGTACATGTTAGCAGCATGTGATACTACTGAACATGTTAGCATCATGTGATACTACTGAACACGTTAGCATCATGTGATCCTACTGTACACGTTAGCAGCATGTGATACTACTGTACATGTTAGCAACATGTGATACTACTGAACATGTTAGCAGCATATGATACTACTGTACATGTTAGCAACATGTGATACTACTGAACATGTTAGCAACATGTGATACTACTGTACACGTTAGCATCATGTGATACTACTGAACATGTTAGCAGCATGTGATACTACTGAACATGTTAGCAGCATGTGATACTACTGTACATGTTAGCAACATGTGATACTACTGAACATGTTAGCAGCATGTGATACTACTGAACATGTTAGCAGCATGTGATACTACTGAACATGTTAGCATCATGTGATCCTACTGTACATGTTAGCAACATGTGATACTACTGAACATGTTAGCATCATGTGATCCTACTGTACATGTTAGCAGCATGTGATACTACTGTACATGTTAGCAACATGTGATACTACTGTACATGTTAGCAACATGTGATACTACTGAACATGTTAGCATCATGTGATACTACTGTACATGTTAGCAACATGTGATACTACTGAACATGTTAGCATCATGTGATACTACTGAACATGTTAGCAACATGTGATACTACTGTACATGTTAGCATCATGTGATACTACTGAACATGTTAGCATCATGTGATACTACTGAACATGTTAGCATCATGTGATATTACTGAACATGTTAGCAACATGTGATCCTACTGTACATGTTAGCATCATGTGATCCTACTGTACATGTTAGCATCATGTGATCCTACTGTACATGTTAGCAACATGTGATACTACTGTACATGTTAGCAACATGTGATACTACTGAACATGTTAGCAACATGTGATACTACTGTACATGTTAGCAACATGTGATACTACTGAACATGTTAGCATCATGTGATACTACTGAACATGTTAGCATCATGTGATACTACTGAACATGTTAGCATCATGTGATATTACTGTACACGTTAGCAGCATGTGATACTACTGTACATGTTAGCAACATGTGATCCTACTGTACATGTTAGCATCATGTGATCCTACTGTACATGTTAGCAACATGTGATACTACTGTACATGTTAGCAACATGTGATACTACTGAACATGTTAGCAACATGTGATACTACTGTACATGTTAGCAACATGTGATACTACTGAACATGTTAGCATCATGTGATACTACTGAACATGTTAGCATCATGTGATACTACTGTACATGTTAGCATCATGTGATCCTACTGTACATGTTATTATCATGTGATCCTACTGAACATGTTAGCATCATGTGATACTACTGTACACGTTAGCATCATGTGATACTACTGTACATGTTAGCAACATGTGATCCTACTGAACATGTTAGCATCATGTGATACTACTGTACATGTTGTGCATGTACAGCAGCATGATTGTGACACTACTTGACTCATCAAGATTCGTTTTATTTGTATAGCACATATCATACACAGGCAACTCAAAGTGCTTAGGAAAAAAAAGAAAAGAAACATTAAAAAATTGGTCAGGAACCGCACTGTCATTTTTCACAGAATTCAAAAATACAAACATTGGATCAGTGATGACTCACAACAGGCAATTTATAGCCCAGTGGCTGTGACAAAGAATCCAATAAACCAAACAGAGATGAGAGAGAATGAGGTTCAAGGTCTAGAAACAAGGCAGAGTTTAGCGCTGGAACGGTTGGATTGAATGTGTGAAAACTAAATATTTTCATTCAAATGCTCTCACAATAATTTTGTAGTTTGTAAATGTTTTATTACATTTAAAAATCAGTTGCACTTTATATTATTACATGTTAATAATATGGAAATAAGGTAGAAATAACATAGAAATAGTATTTAATATATATAATACTAGTATAGTACTTTCCTGATCATTTCCATGTAAAAACCAGGTAATAAACCGGTGGGATATAACGTGGAATTAATACAGTAACAAATGATGAATAACAAAGAAATACTTTTCTAACTTTCCAATGAAGTAACAGTTCATTCTTATCGTCGATTTTGTATGAACTGTGCAATATTTTGATATTATAGCAATATCTCAGTAATAAGACGTAGCAGCAGAAAGTGCATTTTACAGCCCAAACCTGCACACATGACAGCGACATAAACACTAACACAGATATTTATTAAGTATGAGGTTTGAGAAGGGGTTTTGTGAATGTTATATAATCCCAATCCCCTGTGTCATTTTAGCGCCTTAATGTGAAGTACAGCAACCAACAAATCTATTCATTCGCAATGGATATAGTAACTATGTTTAGTTTTAGTTTACATTTAATAAATGTAATCTTATAGGTCACCCAGTAGTGACAAATGATCACAATAACAGTCAGAGTCAAAGTAAATTCTATAAATACAGTAAACTGTACTGAAAGTGCAGAGAAGATAATCCAGTGGATTACCCAGGGGCGGATGAATAAGATTTTACCATGGAAACGCCTCAGAGGAAGTAAACAAAGCAAAACTGTGCCTCTTTCAACACGCCTTATACTGTAGCTCTGAGAATAGCTTAGAAGTTACAACATTCTAACAGAGAATATGCAGCAGATATGGTGGATGAGTAAGAGTGTACTTCTGTAGTTTGATGGGGTTTGACCCAGTAAGAAATTAGTGGAACAAACTAGAATCATGGGATCCCTGGAGGGACCACTCACATGTGATAAGACCCGGCATTCGAATTATCCCGTCAAAGTGAAGGAGAGAGGAAATATGAAACAGATTTTGTCTCCTGTGCAAATCTCTGGGTTCAAAAGCGCTGTCATCGTCACATGTCCCCATTATTCTCCTAAATTACAGAATACAGTACGTTTCAATTTGGGAAGTTAATGTAAGTTCATTATAAATAAAGATAAATACAGAAAAAAGTACAACAAATTGGAAAGAGTACAACTAATGGTGAATGAGACACGATTCCCAGATTATTTTCAACGTTGCTAGAGTCCAGTTATTTATAGGATTTCTACAAGTAGCTTACTAGATAGCCTACTAGCTAACATTAGATCCAAATGGTACCTCACAGCCACCAGTATCAATAATAGCCCATGATTTGTAGGTTGACTGATGTTAGATACTTTAATTTAAATGCAATATATGATCATAATTAATAAGAGTCCTGATACACTGGAAACAGCTGATGCTACCATGCAGTTTTGCGAACACATCAGCACATCGTAAAGTTGCTTTCTCTGGAAATACAGTGTTTATCCACAACAACATAGTTATTTTCTGTCCATATCTGCCATTTTCCCGAGATGTTGAGCATGACTTTTTTCTCATCCAATTCCAATAAATGCAAAAAGTAGCATTTATTATGTGTCTAAACCAGGTCAGGTTTATGATGCTACAGATGCACTGACATGTTGACAAGTTTGTACGTCTTAAACATTGGTAGTGGATTGAAGTGTGGGCACCTTGCTGTTAAAGAATGTGGACTGGACAAGCCTCAATATTTGAGCAACCGTTTCTTGAGTCTTTGGAGGCGGAAGGATAAGTGCGGTGCCAAAAGTAAATTAACTAAACTTTTTCCATTATTCATTCAAGTTCAATTGAATGACTTCACTAAAGCAGCCACCAGACATGCAACAATGTCTTGTTTTTGAAGCTAGCAATTTATCACTTTGAATGACAAGGGAAAAAAGCGCTTTTGCACGTCACATTGAGAGATCTTGTTTTAAGACAATCCAAATAGTAATTGAATCAAAAGTAAAGCTACCTGAATCAAGTCTTATATTTTATCCGTTTCTGCAGCATTGAGAAGAACCCTCAACTCTGGTGCTCACTGGGATAGTCTTGCACAGTTTTTCCAATGTGGTTGTACTGCAAATGGTAAATAAATTCTTGTATCTTGTATCAACCACCCCTAGGTCCCCCATATTGCTAACTATCACAGCTATCACTCGATTCTACCCCAAGTAACTCAACATCTAATTAGAACTCCTGTATGTACCTGTAATACTCCACAACAGCAGTTTGATCCGCCACAATCCCCAGGTCTGTGTTGGCTGCCCTCAGGTCCGGCAGAGCGGTCATCTCTTGGATTACATTGTTGACCATTAACTGCATGAAGCGCAAAGCCTGGAGTAGATCTGGCCTCGTGGAGAAGAGCTCATCCAGCCGCTCCAAATGTTGTTTCAGTCCAGATTCTGCATTGTCCATGGCTCCAGTGACCTGAAACAATCAATATAGTTGTTTGGTTTTTAACTTCAGTAAGATTTTATAATGTATGTTTTCAGATTACGCATATTTGAGAAAAGGAGAAGTAAGAAATAATGTGTATTCAAATCATCTGGTGCAGTACTGCAGTGGGAGCTTAAAGATGCAGTGATTTTCTACAGACATTTTTTTTTTAAATATTGTGAGAAAACGTCCCTAAACCCTAAAAGTAGTCAAGTCATCATGTGTTTTTAAATAATATTGGAATTGATCAGATGCCTATAGTCTCCGAAAATGAATAATTTTTTTTGGAGCGGACCAATAAAACTAAACCAATGGGATTCGTTCATCCCCAACGAACCAATGGGATGCGTTTACCCCCTTCACCCTCTTCCTGTTTCTCGCAAGTGCGCGCACCTGAGTTATCGGATTTTCTAAAACCTAAAAGGGCTGAACAGAAAAGGACAATTTCACGTTTGCCACCCACTCTCCCTGTTCTGACAAAGAAAAGAAAATGCTGGATGTTTGGTTTGGTGAAGAGGCGAGGGGAGGGGGGAGTGGTTTCCAGTTGGTGCTACGGCTAAGCTTTAAGTAGTTTTCTATTATGGCCAAATGAGGATGCGTTTGAAGGTTGGAAGTGTGCATACTCATTAGACTGAGATTATTCGCTTATCTATTAGTCCATGTGAGATGATTTTAAAACTAAAACAGAGCAGTCATAAAAAAACAACAAGGAATGCATACATATAGTGTCTCAGTTTTACCTGTTTTGTCTGGAACTGTCATATATTATTCACAAGTGAATAATTTCTAGATTAATCAATTGTCAAAATAATCGTTTGTCGCAGCTCTAGGAATTTTCATATTGTTAAAGAATACCTATGTAACTCAAATGGGAGGAGATACTGTGCTGTACTGTTTATGTATTAGGGGTGTACGATTCTGAATTCTCATGTTTCAGTTCGAAATTTGATGCAAGGCAGTTGTTTACCAAGGAGTTGAAATTTGTGGAAAACATTTTGAAATAAATATATTTACATTACATTGTAAATCAATAATATTAAGAATGTAAAATGTTAAGGGGGCGACAGTGGCTCAGTTGGTAGAGCATTGGCCTTAAAGCCTGAAGATTGTGGATTCGAGCCCACCACGAGACCTTTTCCTGCTGTCGTTGTGTCCTTGGGCAAGACACTTAACCCCACTTTGCCTGAAGCCCCCACTGAAAGATCAAGGCTATGCTCTCACAGACAGAGCAGCCATCCTCCTGTGGACTCACCGTCTGCAGAGGATCTGTGAGGGGCTGGTGGAATGTGACTTGGGTGGCATCACTGATTGCCACCCCCCTGACCCAGAAATGGATTAAGGGGTAGAACATGGATGGATGGATGGATGGATGGTAAAAAGTTAACATTGTGCTAAATTGTGCATTCACTGCGTTCCGCTTGGTAGTGACAGATCAGAATTGAAAACACATATACAGATTTATAAATAATGTTTAGAATAAAATTTGAAGCTTTGACAATCTCTGAAGAAGGAATGAATTAAGAGTGGTGATCCCGGGAGAGCAGATTAGCTCTTCTTCTCAGCAGTGTGTTTTATTCAGATAAACAGTGTGAGAGTGAAATGTCGATAAAGACACCAGGGAGAGCCCTTATCACAGGCCACTTTGATAATGACAACAGAGTGGGATGAAGGTGCACGGGAGACGACAAAGAAAAGTAAACACAGCTGACTTTTCTCTTTCGCTCAAACTACGGGACGAATCCAGTGCCTGCAGAGTAGAGATGTGGGTGCACGCGGGAGACATTTCCGAGCGAGGGCCAACGAGACATGTGAATAAGAAAGCAATAGGACATGACTTAATGTTGTACTGTCGCTCTGGAAAAAGCCTACAGGTTGCAACATACATTTTACATTATACAGATAATATGCAGCAGATATTGTGCAATATACAGGGACTGGTGCAATAGGTGGGGACTGCTACAATACGCAGGGACTGTTGCCATTGGTGGGGACCGGTGCAATAGGCAGGGACAGGTGCAATTGAACAGGACTGGTGCAATTGAACAGGACTGGAGCAATAGGCAGGCACTGACGCAATAGAACAGCCATCCATCCATTTTCTACCCCTTCATCCATTTCTGGGTCAGGTGGGGGGGTCAGAGATGCCACCCAAGTCACATAGAACCAGCCCCTAGCAATAGAACAGGACTTCTGCAATCGGTGGGGACTGGTGCAATAGTCAGGGACAATTCTATTCAGGGAAACATTTATTTATTCATTTATTTATTTGATAGGGTAGATTGCCCTGCCTTTTACTATGCTAATTCTCAACACTAGTCCATAGGAGGCTTTAGGGACATGAATCCACACATTCAATAATAGTAATTACTTGCAGAGCATGCAAACTCCACTCAGAACGGCCCTGTCTGGAGGTGGAATCGAAGCCAGGATCTACTTGCTGAGAGGCGAGAGTGTGAACAATTGTGCAGATTTATGATTCTGATTTCAGCCACAGCTTCAGACGTCTGATAAAGATGTTTAAGTCAGTTGGCTGTTTTTAAATCAGTGGGAAGAGCGTTCTGCTGTCTGGCTTCATGAGAGAAAAGTCCAAAAGATGTTATGAAGTTAATAAAACCACACAATGGCTCTGGTGTTAGGTCTGCGAGAGCCTTGATGTCTAACAGCCATTTTTGCACACGCACTCATAATTATAACTTAATTCCTTTTAGCAATTTTTTTCTCAAGGTTATATCTGTGTCTATTGTCTTCTGTCATATTTGTCTTATGTGCAGTGGCTCTGTGTGCTCTTTTTAGATCCAGTTTACTCAAATTGAGTTGGAATTACATCCATCAGCGGTCAACTCAGTATATTAGGCTTTTGGACATGGATTGGGATG